AAAGCCTCTCATTTAAGCCCACTGTTCTCAACAAGCGCTGTCAGGCTCTTCATAGACTATCTGGGTCAGTGTCCACCACAGCCCAATTCTTCTCCCTTCTCCAGGTATCACTCATTTCCCCAATTTCTCTGGTAATGACCTAGCTAGCATCCACAGTCCCAGCTGATGTACACAGCCTCTGTGTCTCCCACTTTGTCTCTATTCCTCTCAGGGACTTTGAGCATCCAGGTCCTTCCTGGTGCTGGGCTGTCCTCCCTTCTCTTGTAGGGGAGGGAGCTGGTGATCTAACTCCTCCAAGTCTCCTCCTGGTGCAGCAGGCACCAGGTGTGGGGCCCCAGCAGCCTAGTTCCCCACACAGATCCCAGGGACCTTAGCATCCCAACACAGTCTCCTCACTGTCTGCTTTTCAGTGTTCTCTACAATTTTTGGCCTCCAAACTTCAGATAAGCTGTGATTCCATTGGCTGTTCACTCTGTTCCTCAGATCAGCTAGGTGTTCCAGCTGGGCACAGGGAGAACTGGGCTCTACTCCCACCTACCTTGCTGCCATCTTCTATCTCTCATTCTGGTTCTTAAGACATAGCCCTCCATGGATTCCAGGAAAATATGAAACTACAAGAGGCTGGAGAAATAACCATTGAAAAGAAGAAGGCCAAACATTTCTTGGCAGTTTTACAGAGGTCAGGTATTTTGCTTTCCCACTGGCTGTGATGTCCCATGTAATGTCATGGAACAGCAGGCAGAGTCTTTAACTGAGTATAGCTATAATGGGGTTAAATTAGTCCTGGACTAAAGACAACAGTGGACTTACCCAAGGAATCACACAAATTCTGAATAATTAATTCATCTGCATGCTAAAACAAAGTCTAACACTCTTTGAAGGGATGAAACATCATCCAACAGTGTAAATATTACAATGCCAAGCATCTAATCAAAAAACTAATATGCAAAGTAGCAAATAACCCATAACAAGGAGAAAATGGAAATGATTAAAACAAGTGTGGAAACTTAGCAGACAACAGTGTAAAGCAGCTATCATCAGTATGTTCTTTGTGTTCATCAGTATAGTGGGAAATGTTAACATGATGAAAGAAATAGGAGGTATGCAGGGGAAAAGACCTAAATTGAACTTCAGAGTTGAAAAAGACAATAAAGTGAAAAGTACATTGGGTAAGACCAACAACAGAATAACTAACTTTTTAAAAATCAGTGAAATAGCACTAGAAACTATTCAAACAAAAGCAGGAGGAGAAAAAGACTAACAAAAAAATGAACATAGCATCAGAGAGCTATGAAACACTATCAAACAGTCTAATATATATATAGTTGAAATATCACTAATCACTAGGCAGGGGGCAATCGGATCAGAAAAATATAATGTCTTAAAATTTTTCCACATTTGGTGAAAATTCTAAATCCATAAATATAAAAAGAAATTAACAAATTGAAGCACAAAAAGTGTAAAGGAAAACCACATTATAATCTATTGCTGGAAGTCAGTGGTAACAAGAAAATCTTAAAAGCATCCAGAGAGAAAAGACACATTATGCAGAAAGGATAAAAAAAAATAAGAACATCAGAAGACCTCGCTGCAAACTATGCAAACTGGAAGATATCACTAAAGCATTGAAAGAAAACTGTTCAAATTTTTACACTTGGTGAAAATATATTCCAGACCTATAGAGGAACAAAGGATTTTTCACACTAAAAAAAAAAGTGAAAAGAATCCATCAGCAGCAGACCCACACTAACAAGATGTCTTAAAGGAGCTCTAGCTGGTGTGGCTCAGTGGATTGAGCATCAGCTTCTAAACCAAAATGTCGCAGTTCAATTCCTGGTCAGGGTACCAGTTAGAGGTGGAGGAGGGGCGTGTAAGAGGCAATTGGTTGGTGTTTCTCATCTCCCACATCAGTGTTTCTTTGTCATTTTCTCCCTCCTTTCCATTCAAAAAGTAAATAAAAATTTAAAATACATATTTTAAATGAAATATTAAAGGTGGTTCTTTAGGCAGAAGGAAAATTATACCAAATGGAAATTTAGATCTATGCGGATAAAAGTAATGAAAGGGCTGGAAATTAAATGTATATGGATGAGTATAAAATTTTCTGTTTCTATATAGGAGATGTGTGTATTATACTCTATAATATATAGTATTTGTGTGTATTGTACTGTTTCTCTAGTATTTCTATGTACAGGCAACAAGCAGTAGGAATTTCATATTTTAAATCGGTACCATTGACAATAATATCAAAGAATTATATACATAGGGATAAAGTTGCCAAAATATATGTAAGACCTAACTTCAAAACTACAAAGTAGGCTTCAGATTTCCAGTCCAGCATGTAAGGAGTCATAACTATTTTAACAGTAATTAGAAAGCTGAACAAACTGAAAATAACAACTCTTAGCTCCATCAGAGAGTATAGGGTCACAGAGCAAACTACTGACCCCAAAGTTGGAGAGACAAACAGGTAGAAACTGAGAATCACAACCTGCTGGAATTGGAACAGAAACTCACAAGCAGAAATCTCCATGGGAACTAATGTGGAGATATGAAAATTTAAAACTCTGGAGGTAGGGGGACAGTTACAGGGGAACACCCATAGTTTTGTGAGTTTTACCTCCAGAAGCTCTGCCAGGGCCTCACAGTGAATATTGGAGGGAAATCTCATGTTTCCAGCAGGAGGAAGGTGAAAGGAACCTTCTGAAATACACCAGGAGAGCTGTCTCTTAACAAGGCTGCCCTTGAGAGAAACTGTTGTCAGAATTTAACCTACCTAAGGGAAAGGAAATACCTAACTCCTGCTCCCTGTAGCTTTTGACGTGGAGGAAGGAAAATACCCAACTCTAAGCCGCTCTAGCCAAACTGTCTCACTGAGGAGGAGCCTGGGAAGGAAAGCTCCTGAGAAGCACTAGTCAAGTTCACATTCCAGGGGCTCAGACTAACTAAAAAACTGAGACCTAATTATAGGACTAATAGAATGCTTCCCCTCCCCCCATATCTTACCACTACATTACCAAAGGTCTGTTTCTAAAACAGTATAACGTTATATATGAAAGTGGACTTGAATTAGTTGTATATGTGGATCACACACTCTAAGGCAATCACCAGGAAAAGAAGTATAATTGATATGTTAAAAAAGGAGAAAAAGTGGAATCATATAAAATTTTATTCATAATTACCAAAACTTAGAAGCAACCAAGATGTCCTTAAGCAGGTAAACTGATAAATAACCTGTGGTATGTTCAGACAATGGAATATTAACAGTGCTTAAAAAAAAAAGAAAAATGAGCTATCAAACTTTGAAAACACATGAAGGAAACAAATACATATTAACTAAGTAAAAGAAGCCAATTTGAGAAGGTTATATACTATATGATTCCAGCCTAAAACCCTCTAGAAAAGACAAAAGTAACAGACAATAAAAAGATCAGTTGTTGCCAGTAATGCTTTTACTAGAGAGAAATGAATAGGCAGATCATGGAATTCTTTAGGGCAGAGAAACTATCCCATATGGTATCAAAATGCTGGGTGCATGTCATACATTTGTCAAAACCATGTACATGTACATTAAGAGTGAACCTTACTGTAAACTGTGGACTTTGGGTGATAATGTGTCAGTGTAGGTTCATAAGTTGTAACAAGCATACCATTTTGGTACAGGATTTTGATACTTGGGGTGGTGGAAAGAAAATAGGGAACAGGGTAAAGGAAACTCTCTGTACTTTACACTAAATTTATAAACCTAAAACTACTCTAAAGTATTACTTCTTATTAAAGTACAAAATTTTGCTGGGAGAAACTAAAGATCCTAAATGTATAGAGATAAGCTATATTCATAAATCCAAATTAATTATTAATGTCACTTTTCCTGCATTGTTCTTTGCATTTAATGCAATCTCAGTCAAAATCCTGGCAGCATTTTTTTGTAGATTCTAACAATCTGATTGAAAACTTATGTGATATGGAAAAGACCTAGAAAATGAAGACAATGTTATGAAAGAAAAACAAAGTTCGAAGACATAAACTACTTGAGCTTTAAGACTTACTTTCAAGCTATAATAACAAAGACAATGATGTAGACAGAAGAATAGACATGTAAATCAATGGACAGCTTAGAAAGTATACATATAGCTTACTGGTTTTTAAGAAAGATGCCAAAGTAATTTAATAATGAAAAGATAGTCTTCCCAACAAGACTGGTTAATTCAATAATTAACCAGAGGGGGAAAGTGAATCTCAACTCATCTCATATCATATACAAAAATAGTTTGAAATGAATTATAGATTTAAATACAAAAACTAAAAATTAAAAACATCTGTAAGGAAGCGGTATAGAAAATTCATCTAGCAATTTTATGGGCTTAATGAAATTTGTCAAGATCTTAACAAAAAATTCTGATTTAAATGTCAGCTTATAGAAGTGGTATCAGGGTCAAATAGAAGCCAAAGATAAGTCTTCTGACTCAGGATATTCTGTAACTATAAGCATCATTTACCATCAGTGCCTCAGTTTAGTAAATGTGTGGTAAATATTGCTACCATAGTGATAAAATGCAGTTGCAGAGTTAATTTTTAATAGCTTTGTTACAGTCCTATATCTGTAAGCCAGAGTATCTTTAAAAGTTTTTATTCATTTAAATGTTCATTTTCATGAAGGCAAGTATATGTGCTATAGTGACTTTATATTTCCCACACTGTGTATATTGTATACTTATAGATGATGTATTTGGACTCACTGTAAGTGGATCTATACTAAGTTTTCAAGGTCCATTGTTAATGGATGTCATGAACTTTTGGTCATATAATTAATTGGTAATACATGGGGTTTCTTGGGTACTTGGTTTTATCACTCCCATACCCTCACACACAATTATGAGATTAAAGTATATCAGTTGTAAAAAAGGTTATGTAAGAAGAATTCTAACCATTGATTGTATGTTTAAGCCTAATAATGCATGTTTAGTTCATTTTCATTTTTAATTTTTTTGTCATTTTAGTAACGATGATGTTATATTGATTTCTGTGGAAAGCCCTAGTTTCACAACACCAATTACATCAAATCTAACAGGTATCTTAAGTTGATTAAAATATAGTCTAGCAAATTAGAGAGCTTCAATTAAGCATTTGTTTAGCTGAATATTATCTTTCAATAAAATTCTCTCAAAAATAATTTAAGTTATATTTGATTTATATTACTTAAGTAAATAACTGACCTGTTAATATAATTGAGGTTTCTTTTTAAACTTGTATTTATCAATTTATAGCCTTTTGTTTTTGTACTGTCTGTTTAACGGCTTTGTAAGTTATTAAAAAAAACTACTTATCTTTCATATACATTATTTTTACTTGTTTGCTCTGGCCTGTGTTGGTGGTTTGTTTTTTGCCTTGACTATTAAGTTATCTTATAGTCTACCTAAGGTTTACAGTTTGGCTATTCCTCAGTATCTTTGATTACTTTTTTAACTTTTGGTGTTTTTATAATACTACTGTTGCTCTTTACGGTTTCTGTCTTGTTACATTTATGTAAAAAATCTTTAACCTTAAATTTCCAGTAAGTTTCCTCTCAAAATAACTCTTCTTTTTGTTAATTTTTTATTTATTTTATTGTTTTTCAAATACAGTTATCTCCATTTTCCCCATCCCCTCCTCCACACCCTACCCACTCTCATCTCCCACACCCCACCTTTAGTCCTACCCCCCTTTGGCTTTGTCCATGGGTCCTTTATACATGTTCCTTGATGACCTTTCCCCTTCTTTCCCTCATTATTCCCTTCCCCACTCCCCTCTGGTTACTGTCAGTCTATTCTTTATTTCAATGTCTGTTTATATTTTGCTACCTTGTTTGTTTTGTTAATTTGGTTCCACTTATAGGTGAGATCATATGGTATTTGTCTTTCACCACCTGGCTTATTTCATTTAGCGTAATGCTCTCCAGTTCCATCCATGAGATACGACTGCACATCGGTCAGAATGGCCATCATATCCAAATCAACAAACATCAAGTGCTGGAGAGGTTGTGGAGAAAGGGGAACCCTAGTGCATTTTGGTGGGAATGCAGACTGGTGCAACCAATGTGGAAAACAGCATGGAATTTCCTGAAAAAACTAAAAATGGAACTGCCTTTTGACCCAGCAATTCCACTGCTGGGATTATACCCTAAGAACCCTGAAATATCAAATCAAAAGAACCTATGCACCCCAATGTTTATAGAAGCACAGTTTGCAATAGCCAAATGTTGGAAGCAAGCTAAGTGTCCATCAGTAAATGAGTGGGTCAAAAAACTAGTAAACTAGTACATTTACACAATGGAACACTATACAGCAGAAAGAAAGAAGGAGCTCCTACCCATCAAAATAACTCTTTTGTTGGCCCATAATTTCTCATTCACAGTTCTCCATTTCCTTTTCATTTTTTGTGACATATTAGAGTATTTGCATCTTAATTTCAGAAATCTTTGCCTGTGCTTATATAGCTACTTAATTGTCCTTTGGTATGGGCAGTTAAGATTATGAATATAGCCCTGACCAGTGTGACTCAGTTGGTCGAGTGTTGTCCCTCAAACTGAGATGCTATAGATTCGATTTCCAGTTAGGGTACATGCCCAGGTGTGGGTTCAGTACCTGGTGGGGGCACATGGAAGAGGCAACCAATTGATATTTCTCTCTCACATCAATGTTTCTTTCCCTCTCTTTTTGCATTTCTTCCCCTCTTTCTGGAATCAATAAAAGAAAAATCATTTTTAAAGATTGTGAATAACATAGCTTAAGGAACATTAATCTGAGGCTTTCTTAGTGGTTCTATAAAGAATGCTTAGCCATCTCAGATAGCCTAATCTAAAGATATTGAATAGAAAATGTGTACATTTCCAAGTTTATTTCTTCAAATCCTATTTATAGATAGCTTTTCAAGAGTTACTAATACAGTTGCAAAGTTACAGAAGGATAACATCTTTTGAACCAAAGTTAGATCTTGTTTTTGTACTTGTCAGTCTTCAGAATAGGTAAAGTCAATTGAGTTACTTTTTATGATTGTACAATAAATTCATAATTAGCATTCCATTATTGTGTTTCAGTATTTATATATAATGAAGTCCATAAATATTTAATATTTTAATAAACTTGTCAAATGTTCATATTTTAATAATTTTCTTTCAGGTTCTGGAAAAGTTACATCAGGAAATTCTAATAATTCACCTAATGCTGATACTAAAGTTATTATGGTAGGTAATACATATTGTCTTTGAATGTTGTTTATTTGAATATGTTAGTTCTAGGAACTTTAGTTTGCTGCATGTTGGACGGTTAAGCTTTGTTATTCATTCTTTGGGAGATTTTTTCTCTGAGATATTAATGTCTGACTAGTTGGTATAACCAGGTGCCAGTCTAGCTTAAATGTTAAAAAGCAAACAGCTTAATGATAAACATATTTTACAGTCATGCATACCAAATTAATTTATTTGGATTCTGCCTAGTCATATTCTCAGAAACTATACAGTATTTCAAGAGTTTCTTTGTCACAGGAGAGTTAAATTAAACCATAAAAACTTTAAAAATGTTCAGTCTCTAGCTTCTGTATAGTAATTTAAAATGATGAGTTTTATTTTTTAAAACCATTTTTGTTATTGAGGCAAAAATCTTATTTTTTTAATCTAACTTTTCAGGCTGTCGAGAAAAAGAAACTTGATTCTGTGATTGATCTGACAAAAGAAGGCCTATCAAACTCCAACACAGGTAAAGAAAGGATTTGTCTTTTAAAGAGGGAAGGATAACAACTCAAAAATGTGTTTGGCCTGTTTTTATTAAGTTTGTTTGTGTGTGTCTTTTATAGCTGTATGCAATTTAATCACATGTATAGATTCATTTATTTGTCAGAACAATCACATTACACAACTGTGCTCTCACTATAGGATTCCCTCATGCTTACCGTTGTATAGGCACACCTGCTTTCTGCCCTCAGTCTCTTAACCAGGACAGCCATGAATCTGTTTACATTTATAATTATGTTAATTGCTGATGTTATATAAATATGATGCTATAGTATGTATCCTTCTGAGATTGGCTTCTTTCATTTAGCATAATTCCCTGTGAGGGTCATCTAAGTTGTTGGGTGTATTAGTAGTATTGCTTTTTATTGCTGAGTAGTATTCCATGATATGGATGTACAGCTGTTTATGTATAGTAGTTTATCCATTCACTCATTGAAAGATACCTAGATTGTTTAAGGCTATTGTGAATCTCTCTCTTTTTTTTTTACCCGTGACACACAAGTTTATTTCCTTAATCATAACAATGGTAGTTGTGAGATGATGCTAGAGCATGTAAACAAATCCAACAAAAGGCACTGGAGCAAAATAGGAGAGACTTTATTTAAATAACAGTTTGCAAACCTGGAAAACAGGCCTCAATTATAAACAAAGTGGGTTCTCCTGAGACAAAGAAGAGGCAAATTTCTTTTGTGGAAAACTTCCCATCCTTAGTTCCCATTTTAATTTGCTTCATATAAATGAGGTTTCCAAATTGTACAATTTGGATTGTTTGGTATACCTTTTTTTTTGCATTTTTTGTATTTTATTGTTTTTCAAATACAGTTATCTGCCTTTTCCTCCCACCCCAGCCACCCCTGTGGGGGCAGTATACATTTAAATAAGGGTAGATTTTTGTACAGTTCTGATTGGTTGGGACAGGTCATAGTTGATTGGTTGGATGATAACTTGGCAATAACAGAACAAAGAACTTCTCTGCAGTGGTTGCCACAGGCAGCAGCATAAACACACAGGGGAAACCAAGAGTTCAGCTTGTGAGTCTTAGAGGCCCGTGTCAGTAAAGAGCTAGATTTTTAATTTTGAAGTTAGGACCACTTAACTATATGGAGGGAGACTGAGTCCATCTCAGTAGATGAATTCCTTCTTGGGGTTCACAGGCATATCATGGAAGTGTAGAGAGAGTGACAGCAGTGCCCTATTTCTCAGATTTAAACAAGAAGAAATAAAGCACAGACTTGGAGGGCTGGTAGTCAGTTATACAGTTTCATCTCTTTATACTTGAATGTTTATGGTACTTTTTCATGAAGTGTTTGAGTTCTACTTATTAGCATGAGCAAATTATGTAATATTTTCAAAATGGAGGTTAATATAGGGAGTATATAGTCCAGTTCCTTTTCCTTTTTCAGCTGTGGATCCAACAAAAGTTGTAACCATTAGAATCTCAACATATCTCATGCTAGATTTTAAAACCCTTCAATTTCTGATTTAAAAATGAAGATTTAAAAAGTGAATTGGAGAATCTTCCTGTCAAGATGACTGCATAGGTAAACATGGCTTACCTCACATAACCACATTAAAATTACAACTAAAATATAAAACAACCATCACTTAAAACCATCAGAAATTGAGTGGAGCCCTGGCTGGTGTAGCTCAGTGGGTTGAGCACCAGACTGTGAAGCCAAAAGTTGCTGCTTCAGTTCCCAGTCAGGGCACATGTCTGGGTTGCAGGCCAGGTCCCCAGTAGGGGGTGCATGAGGGGCACTACACATTGCTTTTCCTTCCTCTTTCTCTCCCCCGTACCCTCTCTAAAAATAAATAAACAAAATTCAAAAAAGACCTTAATTTTTCAAAGGGGAATTTTTTTCAGATTTTATTTATTTTAATAAACTGTTATTTTTAATAAATAAAATTTATTCTTTATTAAATAAAATTTTTATTATTATTTCATAAAAGTTGAACAGAAGTCTGACAATTACGGAATTAAACTGTATCCATCAAGGGGTGGAGATATAGAACAGGCTGGTCCCACATCCACGTGTGGTGGATAAAAATTCAGGAGGGATATCTCAGGAGTGAGGAGTCCCTGCCCCACAGCAGGCCCCCCAGCCCAGGGTTCCAGTGCCAGGAAGATAAGTTCCCATAATTTTTCACTGCAAAAACCAGCAGGGATTGAGTCAGTGGAAGAAACTTCTGCTGGAGTTCCAAGCAGTTCCCCTTAAAGAATCCACAAATGAATTTACTCAAACTCACTCCCTTTGAGCTCCAGCACCTCTGTAGCAGCTTGAAAGGCACCACTGGCATACAGGAAGGAAGTGAAATGTCTGGTTTCAAAGGGGGAACAGGGAGACAGCTTTCTCCCAGACAGAAATGTGGGCAGAGCCACTGTCCCTTTTCGGAGCCCTCCCCCAGCAAAGCTACAGAGCCAATAGGCGGGTCCTGTATCTGAGATTCCGTCAACCTGGCTAACACTGTTTTCCCCGCCCTGGAGATCCCCTGAGACTTCATCCCACAAAACTTACAGGTCTACCCAAACTGTTAACCATGACTTTTCTGTTTGAATGGCTGGTTTTGGCTCATGCTTTATGTCTTTTTAAATGTTCTCAAACAAGCAACAGCCAGCCTCAATGACACCACAGCACCCATACCACTTGCTAACAGACCATAGGTCTGGCACTAGCAGCAGCCAGCCTGAATTCACAGCTTGGCTTCACTTGGGAATCTCCAAGCCCAGCACAAGTAGCAGCCATCCCAGATTACTTTATAGCTCATGCAGGTTGGCTCCAGGCAGAAAACAGGTTGGGGCTGACCTTTGCCTGCACCACCTGGATAACCCTGGGGCCAGCACCCCCAGTGGACAGCTACAGACCACATCAGAGCACCACTCCTCTGCCCCCGCACAGGTGATCATCCATGGAATGTAGAGGTTGGTGGTCAGTGGTCACGGCCAGTCCTTGGAGCTGACTAGCTTGGGTAAATACGTTCCATTGATCCGCCAAGGGCAGTCAAGGCTCACCTACAAGAGGTGGGTGTACTCAGCCCACACAAAGGGTACACCTCAAGTGCTCGGCTTGGGTGATAGGAGACGCTGTGCCACTGCACCCTACAGGACACCTACTATGCTAAGCCATGCTACCAAGACACAGAGTCATAAGAGCTGTACTGAATATGTAGAAAAACACACAGGGAGGCTGCCCAAACGAGGAGACAAAGAAACATGGCCCAAATGAAAGAAAGATCAAAACTCCAAAAAAAGAGCTAAATAAATGGGATATAAGCAATCTATCAGATGCAGAGTTCAAAACACTGTTTATAAGGATGCTCAAGGAACTTAGTGAGGACCTCAACGGCATAAAAAAGATCCAATCAGGAAAAAAGGATTCACTAATTGAAATAATGAGCAATTTACAGGGAAACACAGTAGAGTGAATGAAGCCAAAAATCAAATCAGTGATTTGGAACATAAGGAACAAAAGAACAACCATGCCAAACAACAAGAAAACAGAACCCCCTAAAATGAGGATAGTATAAACAATCTCTGGAACAACTTTTAAGAGATCCAACATTCCCATCATAGGGGCTGTAGAAGCAGAAGAGAAAGAGCAAGAGATTAGAAATCTATTTGAAAAAAATAGTAAAAGAAAACTTGCCTAAAATGGTGAAGGAAGTAGACATGCAGGTAATAAGATGGATGCAAAGAGGCCTACTCCAAAACACATCATAATTAAATTACCAACAGTTAAAGGTAAAGAGAGAATCTTAAAAGCAGGAAGAGAAAAACAGTTACTTACAGTGGAATTTCCATAAGACTGTCAGCTGATTTCTCAAAAGAAAACTTTGCAGGCTAGAAAGGATTGGCAAGAAATATTCAAAGTCATGAAAAGCAGAGTCCTACAGCCAAGATTGTTCTACCCCCAAAAAGATATCATTTAGAATCAAAAGGCAGATAAAGAGCTTACCAGACAAGAAAAAAACTAAAGGGTTCATCATCACCAAACCATTATTATATGAAATGTTAAAGGGACTTATTTAAGAAAAAGAAGATCAGAACTATGAACTATAACATGGGAAAAATACAAATCTATCAACAATTAAATCTAAAAAACAAACAACAGGAAATGACACAATCATGGATATGGGGAACAGATGGGAGGTGGGTTGTGGGAGAATGGGTGAAGAGCTGAGGGGATTAAGAAGTACAAATAGGTAGTTACAGAATAGCCATGGGGATGTAAAGTACAGTGTAGGAAATGGAGTAGCCAAAGAACTTAAACACATGACCCATAGAGATGAACAATGGTATGGGCAGTGCTGGGTGGAGGGGGGCAAAGAGGGAAAAATTGGAAACACTGTAATAGCATAATCGATAAATTATAATTGAAAAGGAAAATAAACTGGAGTTCATTATGAATTAATTCATTTCTTTTTTTCTTTTTTTAAATTATATTTTATTGATTATGCTCTTACAGTCATCCTGGTTTTTCCCCCATTGTACCCCCCACTCAGGAAATCCCCTCCACATTGTTCATGTCAATGGGTCATGGATATAAGTTCTGTGGCTACCCTATTTCCTACACTGTATTTCACATCCCCGTGGCTACTCTATAACTACCTATACTTGATCTCCTTATATCTTGACCCATTCTGCCCCTCTCCACTCCCATCTGGCAACCTCCCGGTAACTAAGTTCTTTTCTCTTGCTTGTGAGAGTCTCTTGTTACCTTTAACCTTTGGCAATTTAATTATGTTGTATCCTGGAGTGGGCATCTTCCCATCCATCATAATTGGATTCCCTGCACTTCCTAGACTTGCATGTCTATTTCTTTCACCAATTTAAGGAAGTTTTCTTTTATAATTTTTTAGATTGATTTCTAATTTCTTACTTTTTTTCCCCCTTATGTCACCCCACTGGGATGAATGTTGGACCTCTTTAGTTATTCCAGATATTGTTTATACTATCCTCATTTGGGGGGATCTGTTTTCTTGTTGTTGTTCTGCATGGTTGTGTTTTTGTTGCCTATGTTCCAAATCATTGATTAGATTCTCAGCTACTGTTGTTTCCCTGTAAATTGCTCATTATTTCAATTAGTGTATCCTTCATTTCTTTTATTTAAAAGATTTCATTTATTTATTTATAGAGGGAAAGGGAGGGAGAAAGAGAAGGAGAGAAACATTAATGTGTGGTTGCCTCTCACATGTCCCCTACTGGGGACTTGGCTTGCAACCCAGGCATGTGCCCTGACTGGGAATCAAACCAGCGACCCTTTGGTTTATAGGCCAGCACTCAAATCACTGAGCCACACCAGCTAGGGCACAATTAGTATATCCTTTGTTTCTGATTTGTTCTTTTTTATGGATCTTTGTCTCCTCAGTTAGCAGCCTCCCTGTGTTTCTAAAGCTGCTTTGCCTCCATATCTTAGTAATGTGGCCTAATGTAGTAGGTGTCCTGGTAAGGTCCATCCAGTGGCACAGCCTCCCTATCACTGAAGTTGAGTACTCAAGGTGTACCCTTCATGTGGGCTGAGTATACCCTCTTGTCCTTGAGCCTCAGTTGCTGTTGGCAGATCAATAGAAGGGATTTACCCAGGCAAGTCAGCTGCAAAGACTGGCTGTAACCGCTGACCACCACCCTCTGCCCTCCATGGAGGATCAGCTGTTCAGGGGCAGGGCGCTGGTGCTCTGACATGGTCTGTAGCTGTCCACTGGGTGTGCAGGCTCTGGGGTTTCCCAAGTGGTGCAGCCCAAGGTCAGCCCCAACCTGTGTTTTCCCCAGGGCACCCTGTAAAGTAATCTGGGATGGCTGCTATTTGTGCTTGTCTTAGAGATTCCCAGGTGAAGCCAAGCTGTGACACTAATCTAGCTGCCTTTAAGGTTCACTGAAACCAGTGTTGCTTGTTTGATACGATTTAGGAGCCAAGACCAGCTATTTCTATGGAAAAGCAACTTGGGTACACCCATAAGTTGAGTAGGGTAGAGCCTCTGTGGATCTCCAAGGTGGGTCACACAGTGTTAGCCAGGTTGATGGAGGGCTCAGCAAAGGAACAGTGGCCTGTATGCCAAACACTTTAGCCTTTCTCAGTCTACTACTGGTGCCCTTCAAGCTGCCACCTTGGTAATGGAGCCCAGAGGGAGCAAGGCTGAATAGGTGAGTCCATTTGTGGGTTCCCGCAGTCTCCTCCACTGACAATCCCCACTGGTTTTCTCAGCCAGAAGTTGTGGGTACTTATTTTCCTGGCACACCAGAATCCTGGGCTGGAGGACCTCGTGTAAGTCTGGGACTCCTACTTCCAAGATATCTCTCCTGAATTTTTATTCATGTGGGTGTGAAACCAGCCCATTCTGCATCCATGCTCCTCCCACCAATCTGGATGGGTGTCATTTCTTCAATTCCATAGTTGTTGGATGTTCATTCAATTCAGTTTCTGATATTCCTGATTGATGGTTATTCTATGTTAGTTGCAATATTTATGTGGTGGTGCAAAGAGGGAGCCGTGTCTGCCTATATCACCATTTTGACCAGAATCAGTTACTTTTTAATGAGTACTCAATTGTTTCCAAGCTACATGATATAGGATCTGAGATAGAGTAAAATAAAAAGTAAGAATGCAGATTAATTTGCTTAACAAAGTAAGTCATACCTTTTATTTGGGGACTTCAGTTTGGAAAGATAAATCATGCTAATTCATGATGCTAACTCATGCAGTCGTGAGTCTATCTTATAGTGTCCAGTTCTGACTAAGAGTCAGGACACACTTGGACCATTTCCCATATTCCCAGTCTTGATGCATATTATCACCAACTCACCCCGTTTCTCAAGCCAGAAGTGTAAGAGTCACTCTTGGCTCTCAGATCTGCCTCATTCCACTGTCTAGTCAGTTTTCAAGCCTGTTGGTTCTGTCTCCTTATTTCAGAATTTTAGCACCTTTAGCCTCCTATATTGCCGTAACTTATTAGCTAATATTTTTGCCCTAACTTACTGTTTTTAATGAATCTTCCAAGCTGCCACTAAAATATTATTTCTCATATATAAATCTAGTTAATGTTTTTATCTTCAGTATAAAAATCTAAACTCCTTAATAATAAGATATACAAATCCTTAATGACTTAGACCCTGAAAACTTTTCTAGCTTTATTTCTACAAACTGCTGGTAGAAGGAATGTTATGGAAAGTCATATTTGTTAGGTTTTTTAAAGATTTTATTTATTTATCTTTAGAGAGGAAGGGAAGGAGAGAAATATCAATGTATGGTTGCTTCTCGTGAGTCCCCTGCTAGGAACTGGCTTGCAACCCAGGCATGTGCCCTGATTGGGAATTGACTTAGAATTTTTGTATGAAACTGTATGCTTGTAATTTTAAGTTATTTGTGTCAGCTCTTTCTGTGTCAGAAATTTTAAAAGTTATTTGTGTAATGTTTAACCTACAGATTATGATTTCACAAATCTAGTTCTAATTAATTAAATCAGTTTAAAAAGGCTGTACAGACTCTTATAACTAGTCACTACCTCTTCCAAAAAGAGTTTTTAACACCAGTAAAGTGATTAATAAATTAAATTAGAATCACAGTGCAGACTCTTAATTATCCTTGTCTGTCAAAAGAAAAATACAAATAAAATATTTCATTTGGGGAGCTTCATAAAGTATATTAAACAGTTATATCACTGCTGTCACAATAGATCTCAAATGGTTTTTATTGCTTATTAGAAATGTTCAAATTTTTGAAATGGTTAGAAATCAGCATTCTATCCAGCCCTACACCTCTCCAACATGAAGCCCCTTTACTTACCATCCCCATATATACTCTCCCTAGTTGTTTTCAAACCATTCTTTTTTTTTTTTTAAGGTTTTATTTACTTACTTATTTACTTTTAGAGAAAGGGGAAAGGAGGGAGAAAGAGGGAAACAGTCATGTGTGGTTGACTCTCGCACTCCCCCTACTGGGGCCCTGGCGTGCAGTCCAGGCATGCGCCCTGACTGGGAATTGAACTGGCAACCATTTGGTTTGCAGGCTCGCACTCAATCCATAGAGCCACACCAACCAGGGCTCAGACCATTCTTGTACCTACTGAACTCTGTTTCTCTTCCTCTCACACACATATTCCCCCTTTTCTTTCTTCCTCTCGCCATCTCTCTTTCTTCCACTGTCCCTTCTGTCCTCCTCCTTCCCCTGTCCACAATTCCCATCAATCTGATTCCCTCAAGACGAACATACACCTCAACAGGAAAGAGTCCTTCAACCCAAGCCTGCATGATTTTTAGCTTAAATGCCCAGGACTGTGTCACATATTTAAACAGGATTGTAAATAGCTCTGTGTTTGCAAATGTCCTTGTTGGCCTCCAGAGCAGAATCCACCTCTAAGACCACTGAGCAGAGAGAGAGCCCTCTCCCATGTATAATTTTTCCTGGTTCCAAGTTACATAATTACTTAAATATTTACCTTAAGTAGGGAATTTGTCACATTAAAGGAAAATTCTCTATATTTGCCAACTCTGTATCTTGAACTTCTATCAAAAGTTTATCTTTACAGCTTTATAATTTTAGTTCACACACTGAACTAAATTTATAATTTAATTAGCACACACAATATAAACTATTCTTTGCTAAAAGGCTAAGAGATTGATTACTGCAGATAAATTTCACTTCTTAAACCTTGTTTCTTCACAGAAAATTCACTATCCATGCTGGATTCACCTATGAAATCTGTTTCAATCTCAAAAGAGACAACCGCAGTTGCACAAAATGCAGCCCAGGTACTGATAGTAAATGCTCTGTAAGGGATGGTCATTCCAAATTGAGTGGAAATGGAAGTGCCCATTTTACTCATGAAGAAATACTTTGGTCACATTTTAGCTTAAAAAGCACTTTAATGTGGTTTTTGAAATTGCTATTGTGAGTCTACTTAAACAATTAAAATAACTTAATCAAATTTTCCAGAAGCTACAGAAATGAAAAAAAAATACAATTTTTTACTCAGCAAATTGGAAAAAATTGAGAAGTAACAGCCGTTTTGATGAAATGGAGGGAAATGGGCATTCACTTTTTGTGTAAATTAGCAAGTTTTGGGGAACACAGTTTAGAAATGAGATAGAAGATGAAATATTATCCAGAATGTCTGGGCCCTAATCCATTATGAATTTAGTGATATTCCAGAATGTAGAAATTACGCTGCTTAACTGCAAAAGAAGCCTAAGCTTGAAAAGATAGGGTTCAGCCTTACATATTCTTGAAACATCTCTTTGTTCTCATTGGGTTGGCTATAAAGTTTTTTTAGTTTTTTTCCATAAAATAAAAGCATATATTTCATCTTCACCAAACACTTTATTGATGTGGATATTCTGAGTATATCAGCTATTTCCCGCATGGTGTGTAATATTGACTGCTTTCAAGTAATGTCTTGATTTGATCATTGTCATCTGCCCAACTGTGCAGCACCATCCAGTGAGAAATCGCCAACACGAAACTTCACAAACCAAGTTTGACACATTGGATCAGTCACAGAACCTTCTCCATACACCACACACATCTTTTTTTGCATTTCAGTTGCATTTTTCCCTTTCTTGAAATAATAAAGCATAAAATGCCAAAAATGTTGCACATTTTCTTCCATCTTCAATATTAAAATGGCTACACAAAAATTCACCAATTTTGATCATTTTTAATTTTTCTTTTAATGCACATTATATAACAGCTGTCACAATACAATTTAACAAAACTGTTTCAAACCATTGAAGTTAATGGTTTGAACGTTAAAGATAGTTCAATGAAGTTAACTGTGAAGTTAAAGATAACTAAGCGCTACTAAAGCCATCTTACAGAAAAAAATGAAATGAACTTTTTGACCAACCCAGTATGATTTTGATAAATGGATTGAGGAAACAATATGTTGTAGAACTGCAGTTGACTACTTTAAAATAATTAGAGCCCACCAGTTCAGCTCACTAAACTTTTTATAAATCTGTTTTAGGTTCTTGAGTCCTTTGAGCATCTGCCACCCCTCCCAGCACCACCACCACTACTGCCTGAACTGATAGAAAAAATTCGAGACACACTACCTCCCCAGAAGCCTGAGCTCAAAGTGAAACGGGTGCTGAGACCCAAGGGCATTGCCCTGACTTGGAACATCACCAAAATCAATCCCAAGTGTGCTCCAGTGGAAAGCTACCACCTTTTCCTGTGCCATGAGAACCCTACTAATAAGTTGATTTGGAAGAAAATTGGAGAAATTAAAGCTTTACCACTCCCCATGGCCTGTACTTTATCACAATTTTTAGCTTCCAACAAATATTATTTTACTGTCCAATCAAAGGACATTTTTGGACGATATGGACCATTTTGTGATATAAAATCCATCCCTGGGTTTTCTGAAACTCTTACCTAAAAGAACAGACTTTAATAATTATATATTGTACCACATTGTTTTGTTTTATATTTGTTTACAATATTATTCTAACACTATTCACTATCTTACAGGGCCAATTAAGATTGTGAACCCTTTGTATCGGGACAGTCATCTTCCCTATGTTGTAGTGGACTCTGTTGTCATGAATTTCTTACTCAGTAAGTACTTCCCATGGATATATTCCAAAATATGCACAGGATCCATGTTGCTAAGCTGTACTGTGTGTAATACTTTTGATCACTGTGGAGCTGCTGCTGCTATCAGAAGCCTTAGGATACAAGCAGCCACCTTTTTTTCCTATTAATAGTCAACTTTTGGTGATCTGCTTGTTGTCAGTATAAGTACAGGAAAAATCAGCTCTTCACTGAGGACAGATCATCCCTTGGACGCATCTCCACCAAGATTTTATGAAAATAAATGTCTTCCTGTTCTGTTCAAATTCTAAGGGCTATTTGTGTACCTACCTCCTTTTTTGTTGTCATGATATCAATCATTTGGAGAAAAGCATGGAAGTTTTCCCTAAATCCATTTCTATTCTTATATATAAAATAAAATTAGTTATGCATTGTATGTTTTGTACACAAAACACACAGTCTCTTTATAAAAAGCATTATCCAGCCTGCTATTTCAGTTGAGGAAAATGGAATTATCTGCCTTAGATTTAAGGCTTTAATTTGCTAATTCCCTAATGCTACCCCTTGCTCATTTTCTGGCTGCCATTATTAGTTGAAGAAAGAACATAAGACTAAATGACTCTAATAGAAGTGCGCTGTGCATACCCGTGCCTGAAGGAGCACTGAGGCGAAGCTGTGGCTAGCACAAGCAGCCCAGTGAACTCAGCAAGTGGACACAGTTGATAAGTATAGTAGGTCAGGGCCCAACTGGACAAATCTGTGGGATGGTGAAAAAACAAAACCGTGTGAAAGACAGCCTGTTCTAAAGAGGTATTCTTTCATCTTACGTGGTGAAAGAATAGGCCTCAGAGGTGCTGAGCTTTTTTTTAAATGGAAAGGAAATAGTTTTCCTTGGCATTTTGTAAATGCCTTAACATCTTCAGTGATAAATAAAGCTGTTACTGTTCAGTCTCTGTGCCTTTTCCTTCTAAAATATGACGGAAAGAGCCAGATTCTGAACTGAGTTTGGTGAGATGATCTGCCCTCTGTGAGGTCCCATTCTGGGCTCAGAGCAGTGGAGGGCATCCTGAAGCACAGGACAAGGGCTTCACTTGGGGGAGGATTGTACCCTTGGGTTGATGTAGACTAACATTCACTCACTGAGCAAAAAAACTTAATACTGTATACAAGAAGTTGGTGCGCATCACCAAAGTGAAACTACATCCCCAACCAGCAAATAGGCAGTGTTGATAGACACAGCCTTCAGCAAAAGAGTTTTTATGGATGATGGAGGAAAGCTGATGGCAAGTATCTTAGGGCTGGTAGCTCAAAAAGCAATGTTTCTTGACTTTTGGAAGGGCCAGATTCTCCACTTATCTATTAATGACACCAAGAGAGAGAGTATGTAAGATCTGGTACATAGTACAGAGAGCAAACACTAACCCACCCTGTGAAACACTATGTACTTTTATTGGGAAATCTATGCCTCCTTTAAGCAACAGAACCAAACTCTGATGAGTGATGAGCTAAATGGGAAAAAAAGGCTATGGGGTAGTTCATGGAATCACCAGGTAACGGAGAGACTTGGGCTTGGAGAACAGGGAAAAAAAAATAGTTTGCAACAAATCCATGAAGTTTCAAACCTAGGACAGTTTATGCACTTTATATTCTACCAAGTAATATGTTAAGACATTTGTTGATTTTAAAGATGGAGAAGAAGGCTAAATGAGCTTAGATGGCTTACAAAAGTCACAGACCCAGCCCATTCAATCCCAGCACCGTGGTCCTGTGTTTCTGCTATATACACCACACTACACTTACTGCCTCATGGAGACTGGACAAGTAGAACAGGAAGAATTCACCACTGTCATTGCTGCTATGTGGCTCAGGATGAAAACAACACACATCTGATTGGCTTCTCCCAGGCAGACATGGAAACTGCAAAGGGAACAAGAAAGCCAACATCCAGCATTTTTGATCAGTGAGGGGTGTACTGTGCTGCCCTTGACACTCAAGGCAGGTGTAGGTAGCTTTGTATTGTGTCCATCGTCACTAAGCTAGAAACTACCTTTCCCAAGATGTCCTCTGGCTAGCTAAAGATTAGTGTTGGCCACAAGATATTGCATGAAATTCAGAAGCAGAGGCAAAATAACAGTTGTGTGTTATGTTCTGAAGGTGGTACAGGACATCAGAATATGACAGCTGGGAGTACTTGAACAGCTGCACCATGGACCTCCAGATCCTGCAGCTTCAGCAAGAGCCTCCTTCCACCTGTCCAAGTACAGGGCACATACGTGTGTTGCTCTGTGCTTTTCCTACAGTCCCATGATTCCCATGGCTTCAAGGGTGGATGTCATGATACACAGAAGCACTTCCAATTTGTGTGTACTTGCTGTTAATCCATTCTTCACCACCACCACCTACCTGATCTCTGGTGATTCCAGGCTCAGTACTAGACTCGGAACAGGTTGCACAGCCATTTGCTCTGTCACATTGGGCCAAGTCTACCCATATAATAAATTCCGTGTTCTATAGCTTCAGTGGCTCCATCACTGAGACTTTGTGGTGTCCTCACTCTGGAGATTTGACTAGAGCACTAGCTTGTTCAACTGACCCACCAAAGTAACATGTTTCATACATTGTTCTCACAGAGTATTAATATAGGGGAGAGGCATGAGAACTAAACAAATAGACCAAAGTAAAGCCGTGTTAGAACCTGTTACGTGCCGCCAGGTATGGAACTTGGTTAATGAAATGAAATCACAAGGAATTTACAAAGTTCTTGTAAAGATTAGTATCAATAGCTTGTTCATACCATAAATGTTTACTAATACCACAAAATAAAATAGACCACAAAATATACCTTTTAAAATTTAAAGTTGCCCTGGTTGGTGTGGCTCAGTTGGAGCATTGTCCCGTAAACAAAAGGTTGAGGGTTCGATCCCCAGTCAGGGCACATACCTAGGCTGTGGGTCCAATTCTCAGTTCTGGCAAGTACAGAAGGCAACCAATAGATGTTTCTCTCTTACATCCATGCTTCTCTCCCTCTCTCTCTAAAAATAATGAAACAAATGACCTCAACATTTTTCCACTTTCTATTTCTTCATATCAGTAATTTTTTAAATAGAAACTACAAACAGATATAAGCTCATTCTCTACAAATGGTTGGGGTAGGGTCTCTCTCTTTACTGGTCAGGCAAGACCACGACTCTGGAGTGGCTTTTCTTACTTGTCCACTTTGCTCAATAAATGTGCTACCTCACTTCACTCCCAGACTCATTTTCTGTTGTCACTGTTTACTTTTTTAGAAATGATGTTTAGACAGAGAGAGGAAGGAGGAGAGAGGGAAGCATCAATTTATTGTTCTACTTGTTTATATTTATGCATTCACTTGGTTGCTTCTTGTATGTGCCCTGACTGAGATCAAACCTACAATCTAGGCATATTGGGATGACGCTCTAACCAACTCAGTTACCCAGCCAGGGCCCCAGCTTGTTCTTGAATTCTTTCTTGCATGAAACCAAGCACCCTCTTGGCTTTGGGCTGGAGTCCCCAACAGGGACTCAATCCTCTGTAATCAGTATGAACTTCACAAACAGTGTCTGAAAGCCACTTCTAACACTTATTAACTGTAATTTGGGCAACCTATTTCATCTTTCTGTGCCTTTTTTTGTTGACTCCTACATTTTCTAATAGCCTCCCTCCCTCCCCTTCTCTTTCTTAAGTGGTTCTACTGTGTGAGACCAAGAACCCTGATAGAGATAGGACTATGGTGGATAGTCAGGCAGGCATGAGCAGAGCAGGACAATAGGGCAGGTACCTTGCAACAGATACCTAGCAAAGGGCAGAACTAGGAGAGCATGTATTAAAAATAAGTATTAAGACCTCACTCCTGAGGCACCTTTTCCTCCCCTAGATTATCTGCTGTCATACAGGGTAGGTCTTCCCCCTGACCTTTTCTCCCCTGGCATGTACCCAATCATGTGGTAGATTCCCCCTGCTTAGAGAAAAACAAGGGAGTTGGAGAACAGTCCCATCTGACTTCCATACAAGGACAGGGGATGACAAGACAGGTCCCAATACGTCTGCTGGAAGAAGAAAGCAATTAACCCCCTTCAAGGGATTAAAAGGAGCCCCCTGGTGCTGACCAATCAGCAATCCTGAAAGAACGCACCTGGAAAGCTGATGTTCTTCCCTGGGACCACCCGTAAAAATCCCTGCCATTAAAAGCTCGTAGGATGGGGGACCCAGCACAGCACTCTGTGGAGCATGCCTACACCTTTTCCCACCTTCTTCCCCCAGGGGCATTTTTCTTGCCTCTCTTTTCTTATAAGCTCCAACAGCCTTTCTCTTGCCTCTGTAACTTGTTCCATGAGCCCACACAACTCAGCTGGCTTACTTCTTCATGGCTCATTTCTTCAACCTCTGTGACTTTCTGGATAAACTTTCTCTTATAGTTTGAGCCTTGGTTCTAAATTCTTACTTAGCCAGAACTCAGTCAAGTACCAATCACTGGTAACATTCTGATGCTGTTTTGCCACCAATAGGGTCATCATAAGGAATTAATAAGATAACATATTGAGGACAAAGCAAGTCCTTATTAGTGAATGATAATGTTAGTGTATGTGGATAGATATTAATCAGAGAAGGAAGCAAAGGCAATAAGACATTAAGAAGCGTAATCTGCTAGGAAGCTACAGCTCCATACACTCAGGGCATCCTCCACCCTCCAGACCTAATCCCCCAGGTGAGCAGGAATACCATCATCACCAGTCATTGGTGAGAAGGAATAAAAACAGCAGGGAAAATTTCTCTGCTGGGTGTATGCCTGTAGAAGTCAAGATGGCACACTACAGGGGGAGATGCTTCTACTGTAAAGCATGTACGGTAGGAGCCAACACGGTGACTGTAAAGGCCTGTCAGTAGCATGAGAGAAGGATTGGATTGGATAAGGGACATAGAAACCCAGAAGATCTAAAAAATGGATTATTGAGTGGGAGGATCTAGTGCCAGCCTGAAAAAGCTTGGGAAGTTGATTGGTCTCCCGTCCAGGTACTAACCAGGCCTGACCATGCTTAGCTTCCAAGATCAGACGAGATCGGGCACATTCAGGGTGGTATGGCCATAGACCAGGAAGTTGATTGTTTAGTTTGAAGGAGAGCCTGGTCCTCCCAAACCCAAGATAACATAATCACACTTTAACAAAGAATCTCAATATCTATATTTTTCCCTCTCCCCCACCCACTCTGTGTGTGTGTGTGTGTGTGTGTGTGTGTGTGTGTGTGTGTGTCACTTGGTAACACATGCTGGCCATCTGCTTGCGCATTTTCTCTCCATAGCAGCCATGTGGTCCTAGCAGCCACCTGGGGCCTGTGGT